AACTTTATACGAAACGCCAACCCTAACATTAATGAACTTTAAAGAATTTTACATAATGATCGGCAACATGCATAACCAAGCACAGATTATAATCATGCATGTGAGTATGGGTTTTGGGTGCAGGAGAGGTTGGAATAGTTGTTGATGATAAGGCAATAGCTTCGCTTAATTTTTTAGTATTTTTCGGTTTGCCTATTTTACTAGTTACTGGGGTTAGGAAGGTTGATGTGTGAATAGTATTGGTAGAAGAGTGAAACTGTGTGTTGAAGTTACTACAAAGATATTTAACTATAGCAGTTGTACATGGTGCTTTAAAAAAGTGTGTTGCTTTAAGTATTCTGGTAGATTTAGAGATACAGTTTGATGGTCCGAATTCAGATTGAACTGTTCGGACACTGTTAGGCTCATTGGTGTAGATAGCTATACCAAAAGTATTAGCAAAATTTGTATAAAAAGAGTCAAGGTTGAGTATATCTGGTTCCTGGGTGATGGGAGTAGGCATGTTGCTAGCCTTGTTTAAAAGATATATTTTCCAAAAATTTAAATAGTTAATTAATTAAGTTTCTAATTAGTTGCTGTTTCTAAGTATAGTTGCAAGGGTCTGTGAATTTGTAGGGTACTATTGCAATTACTGTAGCTCGTGTAATCTTGTATAACCTATTGGGTCTAGGGTTTCACAAGTTACATATTACACAAGTCACGTATTACACAGATCACATATTACACAGGTTGCACAGTTGTTGTATTTCAAGTAACATTGCAAATTCTATTGTAGAATAAGTAGTAATTATAAGTGGTTGCTATCTAAAGATAAGGCTAAGAATAGTTGCCAAAAGTGGTAAATTATGCAAGTTGTGTGCAAGAGTATGGACAAATCGGATTAGCAAGTCCAATTGTTATACAAAAAATGATTTGGATGGGTAAGCTAAGAAAGAACTTTTTGGAGTTAAAGAGAAAAGAAAAAAGGAGTTTATGTATTAAATAGCCTAGAGACACTCTATAATTTCTATTATGATATATGAAGATGTTATTAAACCCAGTTTGCCAGGAATATCCAAACTTTGGGGAGGAAACAGACTTTTGTCTGTCTGACATTGTAAGTCAGATATCTCGGGACTGACAAGAGATAAAGACTTGAAACTTTATAAATTTATATAAAATTAGTAGCTGGACAAGTTTGTTTAAGGACCAAAAGGTTGTTACTTAATAAAGTTTTCGTAAATTAAGAAAAATGTAAAATATTTTTAGGCAAAATTTTGTATACAAGTGATAGACAGAAAGAGTTTTTTGAAAAAACTATAATACAAAGTACTTTAAACTATATAAAAAGTCAAAAAATTTGTTTTATTAAGTTGACTAAGTGACGAAAAATTATTGGTTGCACGTGATTGCAATATACAGATAATATGGTTCAAGGGCACACACAATTAGTAGGATTGATATAATCAAATAGGTTGTACAACTTTAAAGCATAATTGGCATAATGAAAAGTCAAATTTCAAATTGTATTAGTAATAGAGTTATTAATAATAGAGTCTATCATAGTATAGGTAATAGATTATGATATAATCTTACATGAGCAAAAATTAAATAAATAGAAGGTTTGATCCTAAAAATCGAACCTAGACTTTGTTTTTCGTTAATAAAACTAGAACCTAAGAGATAACGTTGAGGTACCTGCTAGTTGTGCAGTAGTAAGAACATTGAGTAGAAGGTGATTAGTGAGAAGGACGAAAGCAAAGTGCGAACAAAAGCAAGCGTTAGAACTTATAAATTAATTAAATTAATGTGCTACCAACTAGAATTAAATATCAAGAGACTTATTAATCTCCTAACAGAAGAACCTGGGCAAGACAAAGTCTTCTTGCATTGAAGTTATAGCACTAATACAAGCCAGACTAGCTTCTGTTAAATTAATAAATACAACATCTCCTACAACAATAAGTGTATTTTAAAAAAAAAAAAAATCTTAAGGACCAGAATCAGCTAATGAACATAGGAATTTGTATAGAGAAAGCTGTAACAAATGATGAAAGTATAGAGAAAGCCATAACAAACAATGAACGTATAAAGAAAGCCATAATAAACGATGAACGTATAGAGAAAGCCGTAACAAATGATGAATGCATAAAGAAAGCTCCAACGAACCGATAAATAAAAGACATAACGAATGATATAATAAGGTATAAGAAAAATGAGAAACGTTAGTAAAGGGTAAAAGAAGTTATGAAGCAATGGGAAGTAAAGATACGATCATATGGTGCTGAAGTCAATAATATTGAGGACTTTCTCTTTGATTACAAAGGTTATAGAAAGGCTAAGAAATACGATTAAAACATCTTATATTTAAACGTGCATATGCACATACCTGAAGAGATGAAGACATGGGTTCAGAATCTTATACAAACTAAAACAACTTGGAACGATCTGAAAAAAACTATTATCGACAATATAAAGGCTGAAAATGAGACTGAGATAAAAATCAATTGATTGAAATATCTAGGAAATCAGTAAAAGAATATACAAACCGTTACGAAGCTTGTTCTGAAATTATAAAAAACCAACTCGGAAATGATGAAAAGTACGATTGGTATATTCGTGGTTTAAAGCATCCCTATCAAACAAAAGTAGAAAATTGTTGTCCAAAAATTATGAAAAAGCCAAAAAAAAGGTGTTGAAAATAGAGGAATATAATAGAGATAAAGACTATAATAATCAAAAGGATATAGTTGCATCTGAACAAAACCCACAACCAAGTAAATCTGATGTGGATATCGATAGTATTGTTAATAGAATTGCAGCCCTGAGCATCAATCGTGTTGAAAGAGAAGAGAAATTGAGTCGTAGCGAAATCAAAATAATGATTCGAGATGCTATAACAAAAAGCACAAAAGATCAGAACAAAAAATACAACTAGCAAAGAGCTTCCAGACCACGTACGTGTTTCTTGTGTGATCAAGAGGGCCATATTATGAAGAACTGTCCCAACAGAAACAAAGGTGACGATAAACCCAATAAGAGTATGATATTTAATAATGCAGATATACGTCTGGTAAATTTAGAAAAAAGGACAATGGAAATGATGATAAATATCTAAAGGTGGAATTGTTAGATGAAGGCGAATGTGAAGATGTAAGGATATTCAGAAAGAGAAAAAGAAAGAATGATACAATTGAAGTAATAGAACCGTTAGCTAAAAAAGGAAAGGTTCAAGAACTAAAACCAATAAATGAAAAGATAAACTTATGTGAGAACATGATGTATATACCTTTTGCTGAACTTTCTGATGACCTTGATTTATTAAAGAAGTTAGCAAATATAGAAATAACTCTCCCCTTGGAGCAGTTATTCAAATAGTTACTCAAAGCATGATCAGAAATAATGAAGGCCCTGATGCGACAAAAGAAGAATAGTGCTGATGACCAAAATATAAAAATTCAGATTGTACAAGGTGTTTTTCAAGATGAAAAATCAAAATCAAGTGAAGTAGTACTCGTATAGATGGTCAAGATAAATGGCAACCCTGTAAAGGCCTCTATAGATTCAGGTTCTCGAATAAACCTTATGTTAAAAAAATATGCTATTAAAAGAGGTCTAAAATGGAATCAAGCTCGTGGGAGAGGTCAAATAGCTGGCAATAGAGTTAGTCAATTTGTAAAGTACGTACCCAATATAGAAGTAGACATGGAAGATGTTATAGTAAACCAATGCTTCTATGTAATGGAGACGGCTAGCTTTGATATTCTGTTAGGAATACTGTGGAATGCAAGAGCACAATGCACTCTGGGTTTCAAAGGAACTGAGTATTGGTGCACCATTTCCTTCCTGACCAGATCAGCTTCTTTTATAGTGTCTACTGTACCTAGAAGTTGAATAGGTGAAACTCAAGTCAATGACTATGATGACGATACGGATAGTGATGAAGAAAGCGATGGTGACGATGTTGTGGATGATATTATGGCTGTCAGAAGGATCAATGTAGATAAAATCAAATAATTGAATAGAGATAATTGAATAATGGATCTATAGGATGAAGCAAAAAATAAGAATGATATAATATTATGTAAAGTAGAACCAGTCGATTATAAAAACCTTGATAGATTAGCATTTTGTGGTAAATTGAAATACCGGGAAGCAAGAAATGAACAAGATGATGGAACGATCGAAGGCCAAGACCCACTCATTATGTCAAAACTAACAATGGAAAACAGTATTCTTATAAATTTGGGATCTAAGATTCGAAATGATCCAATTAGAGGCATCATAATCAAATAATTAATGGACCAGATTTTAGATATATTCAAATACGAACTAAAGGACATTGGCAAAATGAACCTTGTAGAGTATGAGGTCAGAACGGGTGACGCTATTGTACCCTCTATGTGATTAAGGCCAATTAGAATAAATAATCCAGAAACTCGGCAACTCTTTGAAAATCATTTGAGAGAAATGGTTGTATGTAGTTTTTTGCAAAAAAGGGTTAGGTGAATATATCTACTACTGCTTTCTAATGCAAAAGAAGGATGGAGAAATAAATAAGATAAGGGCTGTTGGTAATATGAAACCCTAAACAAATATATAATTAAGGATAGTTATCTATTGCCAATTATTCGAGATATTTTGGAACAAGCAGCAGGCCATGATTGGTATTTGTTGGTCAACATGTTTAAAGGATACTGGCAAATAGGTATCAAGAAAATAGACTGTGACAAAGTGGCTGTAGCAACCCCACTTGGAGTATTATGATACATGGTTATGTGTATAGGTTTGAAAAACGTGAGTGAAACTTTTCAGAGGTTGATAGACCGATTGTTGAATAATAAACAATAAAGGAATGTAGCCGCTGCGTACTAAGACAATGTTGGAATTTGGACTGACAGAACTATAGAAGAACATTTGAAAACATTTTTAGAATTGGCTCAAGTTTTTAAAAGGGTAAGATTAAATTTCGCAGATAAAAAATGCTTTATCCTATATAATGAGCTTGAAATATATAGATATGTAGTAAGTAAAAATGGGATAAAAGTGAATCCCAAAAGGGTGGAAAAGATACTAAGTTAGGAAATTCTCCATGAGTAAGCGAAGTAAGGTCGTTCCATGGTGTGATGAATAATTATTGATGATTTGTCGAAAATTTCAGCAAAATAGCCAAACTGTTGACCGATCTGACCAAGCAAAATACGAAATTCAGTTGGGGACCTAAAAAAAACAAAGCGTTTGAGTTATTAAAGCGAAAATTAAGTGAAAGAACTATTCTGAAAGTGCTCAACTGGCAAGCTGCCAAGAATAAATGAAGGCCTTGCCAAATGTATACAGATGCGTGTGAATATTACATTGGTATGGTTCTTAAGCAAAAAAACGAAGATAGACATTTGCGACCAGTCTCGTTCGACTCCAAAAAGTTAAATAAACATGAACTGCACTATACTGTAACTGAAAAAGAGTGTCTGGCAGTTGTGTTCGGATGTCACGTGAACATACAATATGTTGGAGGAACTAAGTTTGATGTGTGGGTAGATCATCAGGCTCTAGAGTAGTTGTTCAATAAGGTGGAGTTTAAGAGTAGGCTAATGAGATAGGTTTTGCTTCTACAATTATTCGGGTTTCAAGTTTGATATAAATCGGGAAAGAAACATGGTAATGCTAATAGAATGTTATATTATCCCGACCCGCCTATCCAAGATCAAGACACCTATGAAGACTTTGTGGAAGGACTCCTGTATAGAGATGGCTTTGAAAATCAAAAAATTAGTAACTTGTTTTTGATAAAATATTATCTAAAACAATTAAGCTGGGAGCCTCACGTGAAAGCACGTAACTTGTTCATTTAAAGAAAAAATTAAAACAGTATTGTTTGATCAGTGAAAACCTGTATCTGAGGTTGAAGAATGGAGCCCCACCGAAGCATGTGATTGTAGATGAACAGAATAAATACGAAATCATAAAGGCTGGTTACAAAGGGTTGGCAAATGAAGGTGGACACTAAGGAATTAATAGGACTATAGTGTTGATAAAATTGAAGCATATTTGGAGATCAAGAAATATATATAAAGATGTTAAGAGAATAGTATTAAGATGTGAAGCATGTCAAAGATGCGTTCCAAAGTTGCCGCCCAAACCAATACATGTGACTGCAACTAGTTGGATCTTTGAGAAGGTCTATATCGATTGTGTAGAACTCTTGCCCCAAACTGTGGGAAGCATGAACATGTGGTATTGGTGATTGAAGACCTGACTGGCTATATCAAAGGAAGAGCTCTGGTTAAAAAAAATGCTAAAAATATAGCACAATTTATCTGAAAAGAGATAATCTTGTACCATGGTTGCTTTGTGGCTCTGGTATTAGATAGAGAGACTGAGTTCAAAAATATGATAATGGAGGAACTATTGTCTCGATTAAATATGGACCAACAATTTGTTGCCAGTTATTATCTAGAAGCTAATAGTCATGCTGAGCATGTGGTTCAGAAGTTTATTCGAATATTTGAAAATTGTGTACAGAATGCCAAAACCGGTGGCATGAGTATGTACATAGTGCGATTTGGGCCATGAACACAACAGTCAGTGATTTGGGTTATTTCTCATTTTGCTTAGTGTATAGAAGGGATGTGATAATGCTGATTGAGCTAGTAATGGAGAGTTACTATACGTATATATCAAGAAGCCAATAGATAACTGACCAACTACTTGAATACCAAACCCTACAGATAAAAGGTTTAGTTGGTAAGTTGAATAAAGCACAAACAAGTTGAGATGAATTAAAATAGTACTGAAAAGAATTTCATGATTGCTGGGCCTAAGAAAGAGAGCCAATTGAAGTTGGTGACTTAGTGTTGGTCTACGATTTGACTTTGGAGACTTGTTCTAGGAAGTTGGATTACAGATGGGTAGATCCTTATAAGGTCACTAGAATTGAAGCGCATAGACAGTTTTATATAGAAGAAGTCAATAGAGCAAATTCAAAGACCTGATAACAAGAAACCGGGTTAAGAAGTTGAGATTTGATAGCAGCTAACATGGAAATAAGGAAGTAATTGATGAAGATCAGGGGTATGTGGAAAAAGATGATGATTAATCGAAAATAATGTACAATGAGCAAAAAAAAAAAAATATGTATATAATAATACACAATAGAAAATAGATACTCTAGACTTTGTGGGAATTTAATTTTAGCATGAGTGTTTTATGGTAAATATATCAGTTGGAACAATTAATAATAATGTCAAGGATAATTACATATCGAACTTCAGGATGAAGTCTCAGGGGATCTAGCTTGTGACGAAAAATTATTAGTTGCACTTGATTGCAGTATATGGGTAATATGGTTCAAAGGTATACAACAATTAGTAGGATTGATGTAATCAAATAGGTTGTGCAACTTTAAAGCATACTCAGCACAATGAAAAGTCAAATTCTGAATTGTATTAGTAATAGAGTTATTAATAATAGAGTCTATCATAGTATAGCATAATAGATTATGATATAATCTCACATGAGCAAAAATTAAATAAATAGAAGGTTTGATCCTAAAGATCGAATCTAGACTTTGTTTTTTATTAATAAAACTAGAACCTAAGAGATAATGTTGAGGTACCTGCTAGTTGTGCAATAGTAAAAACATTGAGTAGAAGCTGATTAGTAAGAAGGATGAAAGCAAAGTGTGAACGAAAGCAAGCATTAGAACTTATAAATTAATTAAATTAATGTGCTACCAACTAGAATTAAATACCAAGAGACTTATTAATCTTCTGACACTAAGCCACAATATCAATTATTCAAATTTGGGTTGTCTACTATACTATATAGAACCCAGATAATAAATATAGTTATTGAGTTGTAATTAAATTTTTTGTATTATATATCTATTAACTATTAATCAAGCAGTTACTATACTAAACTATAATTATACTAAGCATACTCTATATTATATAATTATCACTAATTTTGATAGTATTTTTTTTTACTTTTTAGGTAAAATAAATAGAATGATAAAACTAGCCTAATTTAATAAAGCAGTCAATAACAAAACTAAAATTGGGAGGCTAAATATTGGGTTAGACGGCACTTAGTTGTACAAGAACCAGGTGTTACTTGCCTGGGGGTAGTATTAGGATCAGAGTATTTAAATAGGTAATCTCCTAGCAGATTACAGGTATAGCAGCTAGTGTAGAACCTTCGGGTGGACTACTTAAATTAGGTAACCAAAGTTGCACGTGTGGCTAGTTGCACACTCACCTTGTACAAGTTATATATAATGTATTAACTAAAAACACAAATAAAGACAGTAGCTCCGTAACATCGGCCTTAGTAAAGTAAAAAAAAAAAAAACAAAACTAAAATTAAAATCTTTTTAATACAAAGCTTTTTATATATACTAGTCTTCATATAATTAAACAAAATATTTTTTTTTGGATATTAAGGTGAGGCCTTGCTTATATCTTTATTAATAGTTTTTAACATATAACTCCAACTCACCTATCTACACAACATATTAGCACAACCAAATATAATATGTAGAAAACTTTGTTCCTTACAACTAATATATCCTCATCATATATAGCGAAACTAAATCTAGTGGAGGCCAGGTAGCCCACTCTAGTAGAGTTTTGGGCTGAGGATAAACTAGTCCTAGCTGTAAGTCTCTGTAATAATTCATATAATCCATATAATAATGTAATACATAATTATTTAATAAAGACCGAAGCTAGGCCTCAATCTTAAAAAAAAAAAAAAAAATAGTTTTTAACATAGTAACTATGGTGAGTTGCTAACCTTTCAATATATAAAATATAAAAAATAAAAACTACATGCAAAAATAAAAGCTTAGACTACTTTATCTGCGACCTAAACCTATTAGAGTAGTCAATAACTTATCTAGATTGTGATAGATAAAATATAATTAAGAGATATACTATAGTTGATCTATAGTGAATTGAAAATTTTGAGTTTGCAAATAGCCTGTCCTAGTGGTAGGCAGGAATTGTTGGTATGTAATTGGTCTGGTTGATTAAGACCCTGAAATACGTATAGAGGGTAAGGTTTTACAAAAATTACTAAATATAGAAGGATTTGCAAGAAAAAAGTCAAAAATAAGCAAACTAATTACTACAAATAAAAAAGATCAACAAAAAAATAGTCTAAAATAAGCAAACTAAAACCTTACTGGTCTATAGATTGTTTGGGGTCCTGGTTGATTACACTGACATGAGTAAGTATAAGCTTTGCAGGTTCATTTTGAGATTATGTTGCTAGGTTATTGTGGTTAAAGTTAGTTATAAAGCAAAGTAATTTTATTTTGTTTTTTCTAGTTTGAGAAGTTGCAACAGTACGGTTTTTATAATTGTTTATAAGTAAGCTCATTAATTCAAAATAAAATTTTGATAATAGTTTGAGATGCTAGTTTATATAGAATATTGAAGTTTTGGATAGTTTGAACTAAAGATTTTGAAATAAAGCCTTTGAGTATAATAACTTAGAAAAGTTCATGAGGTCTAAGTTGCATATTATTAAAAGCTATATAATTTTAAATTATATCAATAAGTTCACGAATTTGGTCACTAGATAAGTCTAGTGCTGAGTTGGAAATAATTTCAGAAATAGAATTAGTAATAATATTGAAAAGGGTAGTAGAGTTAGAACAAACTCTCTAGTATAAAATAAAATCTAAACTATTGCAAAAGAAGCAGTTAGGATTATTAAAAATATGGGATATCTAGTATAATAAAAGTATAAAGTAGGTAATTTATTAAGTAAGGTTTTAATTTTAAATGATTTGAGTTGATTAAGTTTAAAGTTGGTATAATTATAAGTGGGCTTTTGGTTATAATTAAAATATAACCAAATAGAATTCTAGTTAATTTGTTAGATGAAAAGTAACCATTCAGTATTGTAGTTTTGTGATAACCATAGTACAAGAATGTATGATTTGCAGATGTTTTTGATAAAATATCTTGTAGATGATTTAACTAGATATTGCTCCTACTGTATAATGTAATAAGGATTATGAATATTGGTATATATAAAATCTAATAGAGATGACAATATATGTTGTTTTGCAAGTGAGTCAGCTAAATTATTATACTAGTCATCAATATGTGCTTGGACTTCGTGAAAGTTAATTTGAAGATTATGTGATTTAGAAATATTAAATAATATATACCATAAAGGCCAAGAACTGAATTTAAAAGGTTTGTTAGAGTTGTAGGCGTTAATAAAATTCATATATTTAGAGATAACAGATTGTAAATTAATAAAAATGTTGATAGTTGAATTGTGTGGGTAGTAGAAATTGCAGATAAGATAAAAAAAAGTTCTGTTTTGTAGGAGGATAGTTACCGGTAAATTATTGCTGAAAATATATATATGATATTATTATTGGAATCTGGCTAAACCTAATCTATACCCATTGTATATTGGTTGATACCAATATCAATTACAGATTTATCTATATAAAAGTTGAATTGAGTAACTAAGAATTGTTCAAGCTTGAATGTAGCTTCTTCAGCCTCAAAGATTTGAGGTACAATAGAGTAGTTAATAGAAATTAAAGGTGGTATTAAAATTTGAATAGGGTGTAATTAAACAAAATATTATATCTACAAATCTATATATAATGATAATATTTATGATTTTATATTTCTAGCTTTTTTATATAAAATTGTTTATCTTTATAATTTTTGATTAATCAAATTTCAAGATCAGATATAATATAACCAATTAAAACAAAACTACTTTTTTACAAAAAAACAAAAATTTTAATTAAAAAACCATCTTCTATAGTCTAATTAAAAACTTTCTAAAATTTACTATTAAGTATAAAATTATTTTAATCTTAACTCATCTATAGTGCAATTTTATTCTTGATAAAAATTACAGAAATGAACAATTTTTTGTAAAAATACTATCTAAAATTAATGATGTTACTTTATTACTTTGTTGATAAGCTAATTTTAAGATATCTAGATACAAATCAATAGCTGATTTACTAGAGTAGTTAAAACTTATCTAGATTTGATAATTTAAAATATTATTGGTAAAAGTACTATAGTTGATTTATAAGAATATCCATATAGACATTTTTTTAATAGCTTTGCCAAGAGGTGAACAAATATTGTCTTTGTGTTGGTGGTTAGGAAGACTACAACTACAACTATAAGTGTATAGAGATCTGGGATAATATATAGCTACTTGTAATAGAATATGATTATCTTATAAATTATTAGTAGATCTTGATAGTATTAAGCATAATTAGTATTTGTTATATTAGTATTATTATTATTATTATCTGATTTTAGATTATTTAATATATGTCTCTAGTAAGTCAAAATTGGTATATATACTTTCTCATTATTATATATTTCTAAATTTTCAAATTAAGAAGATACTGATAATGAACTTGATGATAAACTTGATAATAATAATAACAAACTTGATACATCCAACTTTTTTGCTTTTAGAAGTATATAAATTAGTTTTTTTTAAATGATGTATAAAATAATTTTGTAGCAAGAAATTTTGAGTAGGCAATTTTGAAGAACTTAAACATTTCATCATTTGTATAAGAAATATTACAAAGATAAGAAATAATTAGTGATATATCAAACTTTAATTTTAGTTTAATGAAATAGAAAGCAAGGCTTAAAAATCAAATGTATATATATAAAAACTGTGTAAAAAAATTTTAGCAAACAAAAATTTGTATGCTAGACAGTTTAGTTTTTATTAACAAACTAAGCTATTAGTATTTAGTATTTTTATTATTATACTAAAAAATATAATATATAATAACAAAAAATATAAACTAGAATAAATAAGTAAATAATAAAAAATAGCTATAATTGAGTAAAAAAGATTAAAAATATTATAGAAATAAAGTAAAATAAAAGAATATAGTAATAATAAATAAAACAATTAAGCAAATAAACTAGCTAAATTAGAATTTAAATTAAATAATATAGATAAAATTGTAATAAAGCTTTATAGAAGTTTAATATTTTATTAAATCTAAAGTTGCTACTAATAAAATATTTTATATTTATAATACTAGACAAAAGTTTTTTTGCATCTATATGCTATAACCTTGAAACATTTTAAAAACTTAATAAAAAGTTAGTCTAGATAGTGTATTTTTTTGTAATTTTTAATTACTAGAAAAAATTTAAGATAAAAGCTAAAGTTTTAAATAATTTTTTTATAAAAAAATTAAAAAATTAATTAAGTTCAATTAAAAATTAATAAAAATTAGAAATATGTTTAAAAATTATCAAAGTTTAGTATATTAAAATTTAATAGTTTTTATACTAGTGACAAAAAATTTGACTCAATTTAATGAAATAGTTATTATGATACAAATCACTAACTCTTCCTAACAATCACTTGTACCAAATTTTTCTTAAAAACAATTACTATTTTCTCAAAATTTATTAAGTAAACCACTTTTGGCTGTCTAAGTAAAGTTGTTCTATACTTAATTTTACTTATAGGCAGCCTAGATTTATAGCTCTAAAGCTTCTTGCTACTAAGTTATAACTATATATTTTAAATTTGATACTTTTGCTATTTACTTAAAACTTTACTAAGTAAACCTCTATTGTTACTTAATAGAAAAAGATTAAGCTCTAAAAGAGCTTTAATTTAATATATACTATATAAAAATGGACAAATACTTCAGATTTTATTATTAAAATAATACAAAACTCTGTTACTAAAACTTTGTTAAATTTTTACAAAAATTTTTTTCTGTTTTTTGGGGGTTCTACTTTCTCTAGGGCACCCGAACTTGCAGATCAATATTACAAATCAATATTATTAATCAAATTACACAATCTTAATTCTGTTTTATCTATTTTTATACAAAAAGCCTCCTTACTACTTTAGTTCTAATTAACTTTATACAAATTTTGCATTCTGAAAATCCTGTCGATCTGCTGATCATTACACTAGGCGATATCTTATTTGTCACACCTTTTAACTGTCATATACCCTATTTGTCATATTCTTTATTTGTTATGCTCTTATTTGTCATATCTCTTTACTGAATTGACCAAATCTTTAAGCTTTTGACTATGCCTACTCTTACTACTCAAGAACCAGATTCTTATAACTTGAACTACTATTATAAGAACTACCCTAATTGCTATAGATTAGGTACTACAGAAAGTAAAATTGGCACACTTCGAGTTCTCCTACTAAGCTTTAAACCTGAATCTTGTGAAACTATCAAGAAACAATATTTCTTCCTCGTACCTTTACAACCTGCTATCGGCAAATACTATTGTGGAAAATTTCATACTAGTTTCACTTCTGCAATTATAGAATTATACATACTCAACAAGCTGCAACTGTACAACCCAATATCTCTCTATTTAGTATTTCTGATTTTCAATTAAAGAAAAATAAAGCACTCCTAAAATCCTCTTTTAGAGAACCTTCAGCCCAACATGTATCCCAACAGACCAATCTTCTTCAAGCAACCTCTCGCATTCTATTCCCTAACTTTGGAACAGACCGAACTCTAACTGCAATTATCTCCTACTCACAACATTATTATACCTGTATTATCTGTAAAAACAAAACACTGCTCTGTGTCACTACAGAACTAAACAATCATTTTCTTGACTATGTTGTCTTAATTATTTTTAAAAACAAGCTTATTCACAGAACTTGTATAGCTCATATTAATGATATAAAACTTATACCCTTACCAATAGTCCTATTAACCTTTATTCAACAAATAATGGTTTGCTTTATTAAAGCAGCTAATGGTGTTCTTCTTACTCCCAAACAACAACTCATCATAGCATTAGTCAAACTCCGAGAACTTTCTCATAAAGAAAAAGGTGAAATCTTATCTTCTTTATTCTCTAAACAACAAAAAGAAAATCAACAATATCAAGAACAATCAGAAAATGACTTACAGAAATGACAACAAAAAGGAAAAAAAAAGCAGATGATCAACAACAACCAAATGATAATAACAACCAAGTTAAAATTCTGATGAACAACAATAGCAGAAACAAAAACAAAGACCTACTAGAGATACAACTAATGACTTAGACTGGTTTAAGGAATATCTAATTTCAGAAAATATGCAGCTCTTTACTAAATTCAATAATCTATTAGCTTACCAGCTTTTTGAATTTATTAAACCACACCTAATCGATATTTATCTGGAAAAGATTACTAAAAAAGCAGAAGGTTTTAACCCTAAATTCAAATTTAGTTACAAATACCTATTCAATAAATTGGCAGGTCTGCATCCTAAATTTTTTACTAACTTTATTTATGATAACAACTCAGATATCGATAGAGCTATCTCTATCCTATTTGATATTCTTCACAAAATACTAACATCATTACTCAAAGAATTTATTACTACCTTGTTTACTCAAGTCGATTACTCTAAGATTTTAACTGCATATAATACTATCCCTCTATATACTGCCTCTAATCGTAACCAAGTAGCATTAAACCTAGCTCATATTCACCTTATACTTCATGAGAAATACAAAATGATTAATGTCAAAAAATTCTGCAAAGATTTAAATATCTGTCCAATTCGATTCAGATTTCACTATTTTTATAGTATAGATGCTATTAACCAACCCTTAATTAAAATTCAGAATGACAACTCCTTTAATATCAATATTTTAATTAACATCTCTAAAAAAGAATTTTTTTCTATCTACAAAACACCCTCA